AATCTTTGGTGTCTTTGGTAAGGTTTATTCCTAGATATCTTATTGGGTTTTTTTTTTTTTTTTGGTTATTGTAAATGGTATTTCTTCCTTCAATTCTGTTTGATTGTCTATATTTGGTGTATAAAAGGATTCTTTTTTGTTGTTGTTTTTCTATGTATAGTATCATATCATCTGCAAATACAGATAATTTCACTTCTTCTTTTCCTACTTGGATGCCTTTTATTTGACTCTCTTGTCTAATTGCATTGACTAGAATTTACAATGTTAAAAAGAAGTGGAAAAAGTGGGCAGCCTTGTCATGTTAGGTTTTAGTGGAAAGGCTTTCAGCTTTTCCCCATTCAGAATGATGAGTTTTTCATACATAGCTTTTATTGTGTTAAGAAATATCCCTTCTATTCTAATTTTGCTGAGAGTCTTAATCATGGAGGGATGTTGTATTTTATTGAATGCTTTGTCTACATCAGTTGATATGATCATATGGTTTTTATCTTTCCTTTGTTAATGTGATGATTACATTTATTGTTTTGTGTATGTTAAACCATCCTTGCATCCCTGGAATAAATCCTACTTGGTCATGTTGTATATGTTTTTTTAAAAATATGTTGTTGAATATGATTTGCTAGTATCTTGTCAAGAATTTTAACATCGGTGTTCATTGGGAATATGGGCCTGAAGTTTTCCTTTTTTGTCATGTACTTGTCTGGTTTTGGAATTAAGATGATGGAGGCTTCATAGAATGAATTCAGGAGGGTCCCTTCCTTTTGAATTTTTAGGAGTATTTTCAGTAAAATTGGGGTTAGATCTGCTATCGAGAAATACTGTTGCATCTTTCTTTTTTTCCATTGTATATTTTAGCTTCAGAACTTCTGTATGAGTTTTTATTATAATTTTTAAATTTCTCTGTGAATTATTTTCTGATTAAATTCTGAATTATTTCTTTTTCCAGAAGTTTTTTGAACTTTCTTAAAACAGCTGTTTTACTTTCTCATAGAGATCAAATATCTCCGTCTTTCTAGATTTGGTCACTGGAACCTACATTAGTTCATTTTGTGAGGTCTATTTTCTTGAAAATGTAAAATAATAAAAAAAAACTTATTACCTGTGAGAAAGAGAGGGACAGCTGCACTTGACAGGGTTTCCTCACACATATCCATGTTCTCCCCACAGCCTTCCAGATGTTCAGAATCACAATACATACATATGTGTGTGTGTGTGTGTGTGTGTATACACACATATATGTATGTATTGTGATTCTGAACATCTGTCCAGAAACGCCAAGAACTGTATACACACACAAACACACACACACACACACACACACACACACACATATATATATATA